ATTTTTTTTGACATAAAAATTATGTCGAAATTCGAACCCTAACCCGAGATAATTTAGTACTCTATCGTTCTGTTTTTCCCTTTTTCCGCACATGCATTCTTACTCCCTTTTGTTTGTTACAAGCGGCGATAGACACTAGAGTAAACACTAAGCGATAGACACTACATTTTCAATACAGTATCCACTCTTCGCCATACGCAGGAAAATAAATGTAATAAGATAGCGCGCAATGAAAAGAGAAAGGAAAGAGAACGGTAGAGTACGAAATTGTACGAAATTGAAATACGGGGTTAGGGTTCGAATTTCGACATAATTTTTATGTCAAAAAAATTGCCATAAAATATAGATGCAAAATACCAAATTTCATTCAAATCTGTCCATGGTGTAAAAAGTTATGGATTTTTCAAATAGCGCTTTTCAGCTGAAACACCCTGTACTAAAACTTCTATTAGGAATATTTACAAGACTCAAACCCCTCCCTCCTAATTATCCTTGGTTGTTTGTTTGTTTTTGAAGTAAAATTTTTTGGCTTTCCGTGTTTTAAGTAACACTAGAAATGTCAAAAAGTATTTTAAACCCCCACTCTATTTTTACGATTGTCATAATTTTTCTAATCATGGATTTAAATTATTTCTTTAAAATTGTGATAATTGTTGAGAAGTTGGGAAAAATTATTTAGTCCTAAATTCTCTTTAAATTCGAAATTCTCTTTAAATTTAGCCCAATCTCCAGTTAAATTTTTGTCACAAATTGATCGGTTATTGTACGTTAGACACTTTTCTTGTTATAGCCAATAGAAAGAAGAGAAGCGACGCCTATAGTATCAACTTCTCTAGAATTTTTCCCAATTTCTCACCCTTCATTACCTCTCTCATTTCTTTACTCCTATTCGCGCAACCACTCCTATTCTCTCATTCACCACCAATCCCCTCTCTCCACCTACCACCAATCCACCCTCTACCACAAATCTCCCTCCACCTACCACCAATCCCCCCTCCACCTATTCCCCCCTACATTATTATTTGCTTCGTGCCGTCTATCCTCTATTCGCCATCCTCCCCAAATGACTGCAAGGAATAATTTTTAAAATAAATTGTTTAACTTTGTTAGAATTTATTTAAAAATTAATTTGAATTTTTAATCACAAAATCCCCTAATATAATTTTGTTAAAAATTTTCTCTCACATTTAAAGAGCTGTTTCGAAAATTCGATTTAAAATTTTTTCTGAATCAAATTTCTTATGAATTTTGCTCCAGATCTCTTAATTGACAAAAATTTTGTTTCAAAACAGCTCTGACTTGTAATTATATTTTTAAAAAGAAATTAATTTTGAGAAAATGCTTTTCTTTTAATCCGGGCCTTTATATTTCCCTTGTCTTTACTCTCCCCTCCCAGCCTCTTTCCATTTAAATTTTGAAATAATGGGTGACCGAATTCAATGTCTTGTCCGAACAAAACATACGGAAATGTTGCATTGGAGGAAGATAAATTTTTCTTTTGGGACCTCTCCTAAATTTTGTTTGTTGGAACATTTCCTCTCCCAATCAAAATCAAGGCTGTGCACAATGTGATTTTTGGCGTTTTCGTTTGACGTTAGGCACGTTACAGAAATTTTTGGCGCACAGCCCTGATTTTAACTCTATCCTTTTATGTGGCCTAAAAATTAAAAAAAAATGGAGAGAGATAAGGGAGAGATTAAAAATCGTACAAAGTATAACAGTATTTAATAAAAAAGATTCCCATAAGAAAAAAAGTCCATTTTATATTTGTCCATTATTACAACAAAAAGTCCCAGTTAACATATTCTGTAATCCATTGAAAAATCCCAGTAAACTATCTTTAAGCGAATCTTTTAATGAAAATTATCCTTTTTCTGGGAAAATCCTTTATGAAAAGAAATCAAAATCCATTTTGTATCTGTCCAGTATTACAGCAAAAATTTCCCAGTTAACAGTTATATAATCCAATGAAAAAAATCCCAGTAAACTATCTTTGAGTGAATCTTTTAATAAAAATTATCCTTTTCTGGGAAAAATCCGTTAAGAAATTTAAAAAAAGTCCATTTTATATTTGTCCATTATTACAACAAAAAGTTCCCAGTTAACAACATTCTGTAATCCATTGAAAAATCCCAGTAAACTATCTTTGAAAGAAATCTTTTAATAAAATTATCCTTTTCTGGGAAATCGTTAAAAAAAACAATATCCACTTTTGTACTTGTCCACTATTACAATAAAAATTTCCCAGCTAATACCGTTATGTGGTCCACTGAAAAAAATCCAGTAAGCTATCTTTGAGAAAAATCTTTTAATAAAAATTATCCTTTTCTGGGAACATTGTTTTGTAATGTTTTCTTTTCCCTCCCATATAAAAATAGGAGTTAAGCTTATATCCCGATCACTTTCGCGAAAATAAATTAAAAGCTATAATTAACGCTCCTTCATATCTTTAATTTAAATTTTTTTTCTTTTGTGCATTTATTTCATTTATCCCCTCACCCTCCCAAGTAAAGAAGTAAAGAAACTCTCTAGAATTAATCCGTTTTGGAATTAATCTATTGAGGAATAAATCCTAACCCTCAATTATAATTTTGCAATTAAATTTTACATTTTAATCCATTTTAACTTAAAAAACGTCGATATGAATTATATGAGAGAAGAGGAAATGTCAACTAATGAAACAACATTAAAAGATTTAAAATTAGAGACTGACGACGAAGATTACGACACTTGTCATTCTGAAGAGTCAGAAGTTGAAGAGGACGATGATAAAAACAAACAATTCAAATTAACACTCACAAAGTAACTGGTAACCCAAAGTAACCCTCCTTTCCTTTTCCATCCACACTTTCCATCCATTTTTACCTCCAATAATGTCCCTTTCGTTTTTTTTTCAATAAAAACAAAAGAGAATTACCACCTATCCTACCGCATATTTTTCAAATTGTAATTAAAATTAAATAAAATTTTTTTAAGGTCTGTCATTTGGGAAATTTTTTTTTAAAATAATAATCCATTTATATTAAAAATTTTCCTCTTTAGCATTTGTCCCAGTCAAGGTACTTCCTTGCATCAATATTTGTCCTAGTCAAGGTAATTCCTTGCATCAGCAATTCATATCCGTTATCCTTGAATCCAATTAATAAAAAAAAATCCATTGTATTTTAGGTCCAATATTTTTATTTAAAATTTTTCCCAAGGCAGACCAATAAATTTTAATACGGTTGTAAAGAAATCCATTAGAATTAATTTATAATTAAATTTATATAATTAATCTAATTGAGAACGAAAATTTCTTTCAAAATTTCAACTCCCCCACTCCCCAGTACTTGTTTAAACAAACCAAGTCAGACAAACAATTTTCAAACCCACTAGTAAAGAAATCCATTAGAATTAATTAGAATTAATTTCGAATTAATCTAATTGAGAAAATCCACGCCGCCCTATTTCATAAAAATTCATAAAAATTCTCCTCACTTCCTTTCTCCACTTCAAACCATTATCCTATCCAGATGATCGTGAATACAACCTTGATGGAGCAAATGCGTACCTCCAAATACCTTACTCACCTAACCAATTAACATATCGTTCAGACACCTGGTCCTCCTGTTTACCTTTAGTTCTTTCCGAATATGAAACCCCACAGTCCATATTAATGAAACAAATACTAGGTCTAGATCCGAACCCACCTCTCAAAAACACACGCGATCTATGTTATGCTATGTTCGCATGTGAAGATGAGAATCCCCCAAATAACGAACAATTACAGGCAATAGATCTAACATTCAACCCAACCCCCTCAGTCATAGTCACTTTAGCACCTCCCGGCACCGGTAAGTCCAGAATTGTTTCTATGATGGCAATGGAGCTTATGAAAAATGGAAAGACTCCAATGATCATTGCACACAGCAACTTAGCTATGAGCAAGATTGTTGAATATATTTGTCCCGAACTAAGTAAAATTAACAAAACCGCACTTATCCTCCTTTCCGCCCGTGCAAAAGAACAATATATGGATCTTTTCGAAGACTTTAAGGAGCACTTATTGATTGCCTCTCTTAAAGAAATCGAAATAGAATCCCTAGGTAATAAGGACAAGAGAACTGCCCTCAGATATAAGGAAAAAGCATTCACAAAACCGAAAATGGCTGATGAGAAATCCACAGCCATGATCGTTTTGGAAGCGGACAATAAACCCTCAACCAAGTTATCAACCGTTTCTATGTGTGAAGACATCCCTGCACTAATCGCTGACACAACCCACCTTTTCCTAGATGAATCCAGCCAAACACCAATTAACCAAATAATTCACATACTAACCTACGCAACCCAACTCGAGAAGATATTTATCACTGGGGATCACAAACAACTCGGTGTTTATAAAGAAGATGTACCAAAATTCCTACATCCTCTTGGCTTTGACTCAATCATCTCTCACGCACTTTCAATCCCCTCCATTCCCAAAGTTCAGTTAGTAAAATCCTATAGATCCCACCCAGTAATTACCAAAATAGTAGCCGATACCTTCTACGAATCCGAGCTAATCCCTGGAATCATAGAAGAGCAAAGATCCCAAGCACTTTCCTTCCCCTTCCCGGTTAAAAACATTCCAATTCTCCTAGTTGATACACCAGAGAAAGACGAACGAGATAGTCGATCCTTCTCTCGGTTTAACACTTCACAAGCACAGATAGCACGCACAATAACAGAGAAATTCCTGGAAACCACTGATTTAAGAATAGTAATCCTTTGCCTTTATAAGAAACAAGTTGATGAAATTAGAAATTTTAACCTCCACCGCACTTCTTGCATTACAGTGGATGCTTTCCAGGCCAGAGAGGAGGAAATAGTCATTTTAGTTACGACCAAAAAGATGCCGGATAACTTAAATGACTATAAAACCTTGAGAAACAATAAAAATTAGAATCGTTTAGAATCTTGTATATTTTCGCTTTTTGTGGGTAGAACCTTCTTTATCCCTTTCTGATGTAAATATAATTTCAAGTTTTGCAACCAAGACAGAGATTAAGAAGTGCTTCAGGCATCGATTTATGGAAATAACCCCTATCGGTTACATATGCCGTATAATTAAGAAAAAGGCAATGATCGTTTCCACAATTGAAGCAAAATTCAATTAAATGTAGCAATTCTGCATATCTTTTAGCTCCTGCCAGTGGTCCATAGTGATTCTAAAATAGAATATTTAAGAATATAAATGTCAGAAACTTCAACATCCCCCAAGTTTTTTAAACAATTTAAAACACCTGTAATATTTTCATCAATATATCAGAATATCTTTCTGCCTCATTCAGTAATAATTGTTGCCCATGTCGACTTAAATCACCTAGGGCAAACTGAGAAAAAATTATAGCGCGAAGGAGAACAAATTCTTCATTGTTTAGTTGAATTCGATTAAATGGCACCAAGGAATCGTCAAATAATTTTTTGAGAAATTTATTTATCCTAACACAAAAATGAAAGTTATAACAAAAAATAAAATTACGTCATGTCTTCTTTATAAATATTTGAACAGAAAACACTTTTAATTGGAACTCCTTGCGGCGAAACAACAGTTTCTGATGATATTCTACTGCAATAATACCCAAAATAAAGTGCTAAAGTCGGCATGGTGATTGTTGAAATTTGACTAATCTTTATAAAAAACATTATGTAATACATAAAGCCTCGAATCAAGATATAATCGCACTTCCTTTAAACCCGGCCCATTCTCTGAATGGTCAATTTTTCGGTCTTTTCAGGTGAACCATATTGAGAAAAACCCAGAAACAAGAGCTAATAAATTTAGAACCTAAGAAAAGTTAGTCGAATCTGGTATTTAATTAGAAATACAAGTAGATACTTCATAAATTTTTGGTGGACCGATTAGAAAGCGAATACTTTACGTTAAAAATAGACACTAATTAAAAGGGCTGAACAAGTTGTTTAGCTATTTTGTACCTTTCTAACATTTATTTTAAGAGTGAAAGAAAGTTTCGTTTCGAAATATCCATGGGATTTTATACTCCTGATAGACTAATTAAGTGTTATGTATGGCAATCCCGGAGAATCGTGGTCCCTGCGGAAAAAAATCTTAAAAATAAGAAAAAGGATTTTTCTAGGGTAAAAAATTATGCTGATTACGAATCTGAACTCGGATTTTGAAAATTCGAATCCCGAACCCGAATATTTGTCCTCGAATATCGAAAAACCATAGGGGGGACCAAGCTGATTTTGGGGTGAAAAATTCGAATATGCAAATTATACCTCTTTCGAAAGAGCTCTTCAAGCTGAGACCAAAAAGCCCTCCCTCCCTCCAAAAATCCCTCCAACTCCTCTTACAAAGTCTGTCGTCATTATGAGCTAATGACTTTAGAACTTGAGAAAAATTAGTCAAATCTGGTATTTAAATAAAAATACAAGTAATTCATAGATTTTCGTTGGCAAAGGGACCATTAAAAACAGAGATGGTTGCAAACTAATTAAAAGGTCCTTTTTAACAGTTCCTTTTACAGCGAAAGAGGTTTCGTTTCGAAACATTCACAAATCAGTGGGATTTTATACCCCTGATTGTGTAAGTTATTAATCACCTTGTCAGATAAATCCAATTTGTCGAAAAAAGGCATAGTTCTTGCAGTATCAACAATTATAAGCAACATATCCGTAAGAGGTTTTGGTAGCGTAGAAAAGACAAACAATTCTTCGATGGGATCACGAACAGATTTTCGATGCAATCCAATCTTTAAATTTATAAAAAATTTGTTTTGTTTTTTTAAATTCCAGCACACATTTTCGTGTTTCATAGCAATTAAATTTTCTTTACGAGTAAGCAATGAAGTGAGAGAATTACACGAAGAATTGTAATGGCATTCATCAATCCCTGAATTTTTAGTACGACAAGCATTTTGCTCAACAGTTAGAAGGTAATCAAGAAATTGTTTGTTTTGAGCAGCGATTAATGACGTTTGCTAGAATATTATAAAAATCAGCAAAATCGAAATTCTATATCGAAATACTATATGTACGTAACTAAAAAAGATTGCCCAGAATTAGGCTTATATATTTTAAATTTCTAATTAAAAGGAACGCTGTGCGGACATATGTATCGGGTCGGACATATCGGTATTGGGGTGACAAAAATAATTTCTTGCGTGTTTTCGTTTGTTCTAAAACATAAAAACTCTAGTCATCAATAGGATATAAGGACAAAATACTATCCAAGACCCACTGGCCGTAGGTCCCAAAATCAGTAGGGTAACTGTTCGTACATTGAAATATCCCGATATGTCCGCGTACCACGTCCCACGTATATATACATATTTTAAAATAAGGGGAACCTGAACCCCCTACAAAATAATAATCTACCAAATCAACAAAATTCACTTCTTCAACAGCACAATTATTAGATTTTCCTTGAACATATTTTCCTTTACTAGCAAGTTCTCTACGTTTATTTTGAATCATTGTTTGTATTTCCAAAACCTTTTCGGGTTGCCTCCCTTTTGTTGTTTGAATATACATTCCTTTTAATATGCATTTATCGAAACGGCAACTTTTGCAGACATTTATATCTTTAATTAGTGATATTTTATAATATTTTTTAAATAAACAAATCCAGATATACGGAAATTCTTGATTCTATATACCTCGACTTATCCAGGCTTCGGGTATCGGGAACCCGACCCATCCCTTATAAGCTTAATTTAATTGAAAAATATTACTGTTAGACAAATTACAGTTCCCATCTTTTTCACATTTATATGTGTTTTTTGAAGTAATACAGCGATGAAAGAAGTGTTTACAGCCTGAAAACAATATCTATATTTATTCAGACTTCAAACAATTAAATCTACCATCACAACAAATTACTCCATAAAAGATATATCCACTAGCCATACGTTCACAGATACTACATTCTGTTGGAATTGGGTTGAGGTTGCGTTTAGTCTTTGTTGACAGTTTTCGCATTTTTAAACTTGTATTTTTATTCTCCTCAACTTGTTGATTCTCAACTTTAATGCCTTCGTTATTTTCTTCAATATCACTTAAATCTTCAAAATTTTTATGGTCGTCATTTCCCATTACTTCATTGAATCTTTCTTTGTTAGAATTTGTTGATGACATATTAAAATTGAATTTATTATAATAATAAATTAAAATTAAGTTCCTTTTCAAATTGAATTAAATGTAAAATTTATTTTACTAAAGTACAGTTGACTAGCATTTAACGCTTGCCTAGACAGGAATTGTGAAAAGAAAAAGAGAGCTTTTTCACCTACTGGGGTTGTTGGCTCGTAATCGAAACAAAACGAAGAAATGGAAATTTTCGGGTTGGTTAGTGTAACCTATGATTTTATAAGAGCCAACAGCCCCTATATAGAAATGGAAAGGTACCAGCTTTGATCCATCCCAATTTTCTAACTCCTGCTTAAATCTTAATTTATCCTAAATGTCCTAATTGTAAATCCCTACGGCTGTGCTGTAGGCGGCGTGGTGTAATGGCTAACACATCAGTCCGGTCTATGAAGATGTTGGTTCGCTCCCAGCCGCCGATTAACCTTTTGCACTAGCTGAAGGAGAGAAATAGCTATAGCCCAGCTGCTTTACTTAATAGATATCCTAATTTAATTTAGGTCATTTATTTAAAGACTGTGAAGATCTTTCTCTCTTTAAGAGAGTGCTTATTGGAAAAAGAGGGAGCTTCTATTAAGATATTTACGGTATATAGAAATATTAGGTTGAGGTAAGAGTTGGGGGTTTTGGAATAAAGGAACTATGTATATATTTTATTTCACCCATTTCTCGGTAAAATATATTAATGTGAAATAAAATTGATTGAAATAAAAATGATATTAAATCAGTAAAATAAAATAACTCAATGTTTGTACACCTTGTCAGAATTATGCTTTATAGAAAAAATAATTTAATAAAAAAAATTAAATTTCTTTTAAATTAAATTTTTTCCAGCAAGGATGCTGTTTAGATAATATGTAGTATCCTTCTTGGCCTCATGCTAACATCGATCCTCCAAAAATAGCAAAATTTCCGAAAATCGGGAATTCCCGACATTTTTTGGTTCGTAAATCCGATTCTCGAAATAAGGAATTTATTTTTTATTCTGCTATATTTTATTCTGTATATTTTTATTCTGTATACAGTGACGGAAATCTATTCAAAAAATAAAAAAACAATTTATAAAAACAAAAATATTTTTCATTAAATATAAATGACTGCCACTGTAATATTTACATAATATTTTTGGTTTAATGAGATAATTTGTGTTACCATTAGAAACGTCAACTCAAGACTCTGGTTATTTTCGACTATGTAGTATGCGAAAAAATTTTTGTCCCACAAGATTATACATATGTCTCTCTTCGTGGCCCCTGTGCTTTTGCCCAGTCTCTTCTCTCGTTTTTAAAAGTGCAATTTATGGCCATTTTGAGAATAAAGCAAACAAAGAGGAGTTTCTCTCAACGCAGCTGACAACTTGTCAGTTATTTACACATGAGAGAGCGGCCAACAACACAGGTGCCCTAAAGAGAGCTATGTAAGTATGTATATTTCTAATCCTGCTAGACAGAAATTGCCGTAAACTTTTTTCGATTTGAACCTGGGTGAAGTCTTAATGTCGTTTCTGATGGCTAAAAAATTCCCTAAATGTCAATAAAAAGGACATTATATGTTGTAAGCACTCCATAAAAACACTTTAAAATTTAAAGTTACTTTAATGGAATTTTCGACTTTTATTTTATTAATTCTTGTGTTTCAATTGCTAACTCTATAGATATACTTAAATTTATCATCTAAAGGCTTCAAAAGCCGGAGGCATCACAAAGCTTTCAAACAAAATCAAAACTGTTTAAGGAGAGTAAACAAAGCTATAATAAACTTATTCAGAACAAATTTTAATCAAAGCTATAATTTTAATTGATAAGACGTCTTTAGGGCCTAGACTAATAGGGACTAAACTACAATACTTAATATTATAAAAATATTTTAATTAAAATTAAAAGTGAAGGAAATTAAAGCAAATAAATCTAAAATTACCTCTCAATTTTTTAGAATAAAATACTATCAAGGACGACACTTTGGCTAAATTAAAATTAATCACAAGCTACAAAATGCATTGAATTCGAAACCAGAAAATCCAATTTTTATTAAAATACCAGGATTCCAGACTACCTGATCCAGAAAATCTGGTCTGGTTTCGAACTCTACTGTTTATTTAGTGTCTAAAATCTTACAGGTACGGTACCGGTAGTACCGAAAAGTACTGGTCCGGTACTGACGGTAGTACCGAACCGTGCCGAACACTAATCCGGACCAGCTTTTCTGTATAATCCGGAAAATGGTGGCACGAATTTTCGTCAACGGACTTTCCGTCAACGACTTTTCGTCAATGAGTGGGTTCCGTGACTTTTGCGCCGTGAACATTTGCGCCGCGACTTTTGCGCCGCGAATTTTGCGCCGCGACTTTTGCGCCGAGCGACTTTTGCGCCGGGGGACTTTTGCGCCGCGACTTTTGCGCCGGAGGACTTTTGCGCCGCGACTTTTGCGCCGCCACTATCATTAATAATTATGAAAAACTACAGCCGGACCTCACTATAGAAGATGTAGGATAGTTGGAGATCTTCGGATATCAAGATCCGGACCCGAATCCTACCTGAAATTGTTGGCTATCCGGCCTTTTTCAGATCCGGATATCTGGACCCGACAACCCTACACTATAGTGCACCCTCTTTTGGCAGAAAATCATGCCTGAATAGGGGTAGTAGACCAAATATCCTGATCCGAAAAAGTCAAGTTCTTTGAAAATGACCCCTCTAGGGGGTTGGTTTATTTTTTAACCTTCCTCTAGGGGGTCGTTTTATTAGAGGGGGCTATTGTACTTCCCGAAATATTACACTTCCTGAAATTCCTTCAGCTCCTGGATACCTACCATCTTTTAAGGAGTACCCTATAATTAGGTCTCTCTGTAGATATTATTTTTTAAAATTATGGCGGCGCAAATGTCGCGGCGCATAAGTCGCCCGGCGCAAAAGTCGCGGCGCACAAGTCGCTCGGCGCATAAGTCGCGGCGCAAAAGTCGCGGCGCAAAAGTCCCCCGGCGCATAAGTCGCGGCGCAAAAGTCGCGGCGCAAATGTTCTCGGCGCAAAAGTCGTGATACCAATGAGTGGATGTTTTTTTAATTTTGAGAGAAATAGAAGATGATACATGTATGTAAAAGTGTTGTCAGATTGAAAATTAGACTTATTTGATAATTCTGAACAAAGTTATAAGCAATTGTGTCACTACGAAGGATAGGTAGTCTTTTCAAGGTTGAAAATCAGTAAAAATGAATAGGTGCATATTGCACTCCGGTGCAATATGCACTCCGGTGCATATTTAGGAGGTCTCGAATTTTCTGGCTTCTCGAGTATAATTTAAAAAATTAATTTTCGAGATTTAATCTTTCCCTGGTTTATTTCAAAATTAATCCATTTTTGTAGCTTGTGATAAATTTTTATTTAGCCAGTAATGTCGTATGTCGTCCCCTGACAGTATTGTATAATAAAAAATTGAGATGTAATTTTAGATTTATTTGCTTTAATACCCTTCCATTTTTAATTTTAATTAAAATATTTTAAAATATTAAGTATTGGGGCTAACATTCTCGAGCATGCCCAAAAGATTTTATCAATAAAAATTATAGCTTTGATTAAATTTAGTTCTGAATAAGTTGATTAAAGCTTTGTTTACTCTCCGTTAAAAAAGTTTTATTTTGTTTGAAAGCTTTGCGATAGCTCTGGTTTTTAAAGCTTTGGATGATAAATTTATAGAAAAGGAGTAAGACAGATTTCTTCCCTTTCTAGCACTGCTGACGAAATTTTTCAGAAATTAAGGTGCCATAAAAGACAGAAATTCAGCTTTTCAGCCTTTCAATGAGAAATAATGTTAATAATTTTTATTTAGCGGAAATT